TACAACAGCACTACAGATAAGATTAGAATTTCAACAGCCAATCCATATACAAAAGAACCTCCTCAGGAAACCTCCTCTATTAGCATGTCACAACCTGGGAAACTCCTGCAAGATAATGACTCAGCCCTACCCCACCTTCCTGAGTAGATATAAATTACCTGCCTACTATTTTTCTTCTCCCATTGACACAAAGAGTACTCCATCTTTCTGTGTTATAACTCTGAGGATGCCAGTCACAGCTGCTGGTGAAACGTCAGGTGCTACAAGACCACGGCCATACAGCCTGGAAAATCTACAACAACTAATTTCAAGTAGGTTGCCCTCTTGCAGCATGGTGTAGAGGTTAAGAGTGGCAGACTCTAAAATGGAGAACTGGATTTGATTTCCCCCTTCCCCTCCACATGAAGCCTACTGGGTGACCTTAGACTAGTCACAGTTCTCTCAGAACTCTTTCAGCCCCACCTACTTCACATGGTGACTGTTGTGGGGAGCAAAAGCAAAAGGTGGTTACAAGCCACTTGGAGGCTCCTTAGGGTAAAGAAAAACAGGGTATAAGAACTAACTTTTCTTGCAGGAAACTCAAGAACGTAGCCATCCCTGAAAATGACTCATTTCTTGAAACTGGGGCTCTTAATTAAGTTATACCTGGGCGTCGGCATTTCATTCTCACCTATGATACCAAATAGTTGGAAAATCCCCTTCGCGCTTCACCAAACCCCTTCTGCCAGGGGAGAGGAGGCAGGGCTGGTTGAAGTCATTTTATCACCCCAAGCAAGTACACTGCCCATCTCATTCTGTGGGGGCAAGCTGGGTCCCAACATCATGCCAGTGCCTCCTCTTTGTGGAACCCCAAGCAGCCTCTTGGTGGCTTGAGCAGAAAACTGGTTCTGGGTGGTGGTAGGGGACTTCATCAAAACATTGTATGTATTCACCCCCTTTTTTGAAGCATTTTTTAAAAACCTTGTCACCTAGAAATCAAAGCTAAGGGGCCTAACTACACATGGTATTGGAATACTATGACTAGACTTATTGCTTGTAGCCAAGTAATTGGAATGTCAACAACATAACTCACTCTTTACAGTTTGTGTATCCTGAAGGTAGCCTTCCAGCTGATGCTAATTACTCATTCACCATCACTACCAAGGTGAAGCAGACTCCATCTTTGAAAAGTATATTTGCCGGATATTAACCTATTAACACCAGCAAATGCAGCTATTTTTGCCAATAGCTGGGCTAAAGGGTATTAAAACTTATACCATGTTTAGAAGGTCAACAGTATAAGAACTCTCCGTTTCAATTCATTGTTACAGTGCTAAAAAAAGTGGACGGAAGCTCTGGAAAATGGGGCTTCCACTCAGAGTTAAATAGCTGATAAAGAATTGTATATATCTGAGAAGCACAGAATTTTATGTCTAGTGGACTATATTAAATTATTTTGTAAGCCTTTTGGAGAATGGCCCTAGAAGGCTTAACATTACGATTGCAGGCAACAAGATGTACTTTTTCCTGTTTGGTAACCATGTCTTTCTGACAAATCAATAAAATAATAAGTTCCAAAACTGTGTGGACAAGGAAATAAGCAACACTGGAAAAAACTAGAACCCAAAACACTGTGCCTTAAGTAACATTGCCAGCTTTTTCTGGTATGACACCTATGGAGGAGGAATAAAACAAGGAAAATATTTTTCCCCACTGGTGCTGATCTACAGCAAGGAAACATACCCAATTCAAACTTGTCCTGTAATACAGCTTTTTAAAAACGTACAAGACCTCTTCAGAATCTGGACATGGGGCTGGGGGACCCTGAGCAAAGTATAATGTAATTCGCTCCCTGGCTTTCCCTATAAGCAGAAGTGTTATGTATTGAGATGTATATAACTGCCTTGTGAACTGTGCCATTGAGAGTCAATGTTAAGCTTCGCCCTGGGCTAGGATCCTAATGTAACCAATAGGAGCCCTAGCCCAGAATATGTTTGCCAATCACCGTGCAGAGCGGGATCGCTTGTGATTGGTCCTTATTGCTTCAACCTCATAGGTTGTTATCTGTACAGGGGGTGTGGCTACATTAGCCGGGAATGTTTAAATACAGAGCAGCCAGTATATGTCGGAGTTCAGATGATGGGTTCTGGCTGGCGATTGTTGTACCGTGTTCGGAGAAGTAACAGAGCTGAAGAATAAACCGCATTCTTGCTGAATCACTCTCCGACTTCTTTGTTAAGCGCACGACTTAACAATTGGCGACGAGGATGGGATACTAGTGCGGGTAGGCAGCCCCGCTAGAGCAGACCCCATGTCGGACAACGAGGAGATCGCCGAGGCCGGCCAGCCACAGGCT